TTTTTTTTTCGTTAATGCAATGTTCCTTCTGTTTAGAAGGCATGGAACATGCAGATATAGTCAAGCAAATGAGGGAGAGCTACGATGAGAAATCGAGACTTCACTATCTGACGCTCGAAGATTTAGCGTAATCGATATTCTTAATTTTTGAAAATCACTTTTTAAGAGAGTTTTGATTTAGACAACTTGATGATCCCGCATCACCGACAGCATCGCAAGACGGTGAATCTTGTCAGGAATGCGATGACGAACCAATGTCGTCCAACACCGATCATCAGACGTTGGAATCGCATAATATAAATGCTGTAGTGGCAGAAGAAGAACATGCAAATGAAGATGACGAAGCCAAAGAAGCCAAAGACATATACTATAAGTGCGATTCCTGTCAGTTCTCGTGTTTCACACGAACAGTGCTGGAAACTCATATGCAGGTACTGTCAAGGAACTCATATATCTGGGTGTCTATATAGAACGTACTTCAGACATACCACTCTAACAACAAACTTCCTGAATTGCAACAGCCAACGTTCCCTTCTGTCACCTGCCCGAAGTGTGCGAGGTCGTTTAGAACTCGCTATTTGCTGGCAGTGCATTGCGTCGGGGTGCACACTACAGCCATGACGGACTTTTCACTTATACAGACCTCTTTCAACAGTTGGAATCAGTTTGAAGTGAGATCCTTTCCTCAAATTAAACATCCTGTTTGTTCTACCACACATCTCTCTAGCTTTTTTGCAAGATTCCGCATAAATTTGAGTAAAATATCTGCGTAAATTCGTTAAATTCAGCAAACGACACAAATTTGGGTGCGCGAGTTGTATAAGAAAAATGAGTTCTGGGAACTTGCGCTGCGGACAAACGAAATTGTCGCGCATGTATCTCTCTTTCCATTTTTCTTATTAAGCCATGGCGGGCCTCGATGGAAAGGGACACCAAGACTGTATTGATTAAAACTGGGATGCGACCATGGAATGAGAAGCTTTTCCATTTTTATCGCTGCAACTTCGACCAAACTGTGGCAAACACGTCTCAGGAAAACAAGGAAAATAAGACGAAAATCGATTGTCCGGCTTTTATCGATGTACGTACACGCAATACATTTTTCCATTTGAAGCGGATTCGCATCTTCAGGTCATAGAGCACGAGGGTGGTGTCCTCGACTGTGTCGCATATTTTGGACATCTTGGACATGAGGTCGAAGGTATGCCGCCTGAAGAAGGCGCTGAGGTAAATTTGTCTTTTTTCGTTCGACTTTTTCATCGTGAATATCTGCGGCATCTTGTTTTATCCGAACTTTACTAAAGTACATCTTACAGGTTGTGAGCGCCACCGTGGAAACGAAAAACAAGGACGAAGTGCCTTGCCAGATTTGTGGAAGCATTGTGCCTCCAGAAGTGGACTCCGTCTTCTGTAAAAAGGTGAAATGGTGCCATTGTAACAATGAAGAGTGCCAGTCCCTGGCGCACGAATGGTGTAGGCGATTTATGGGTTCAGACTGCATAAAGTGCAAAAACGGCACGCTGATGATGGATGAGCCCCTGTAAGATTAGTTTAGATTATTGAGACATGTTTAGTTTTTTGGGTAAATCTCGTCGAACTGTTTCCTAGAACAAGTCTTCCATATACATTTCGCTTAGATCGTTATCGTCCTATATGAATGCATCAATATTATTTGATTTTACCTCTGCATGTACAGTTGTATGTTGCAGTTGCTATTTTTGCATGATTGACCGATTTTATCGCACGTGCGTGAATGAGTGACAGAATGCAGATTATTACAAGTGCAATTCTGAGCATGAAAATGGTTTATGAGCTTACTATACGTGGATGCAAGTTAGGCGCCAGCATAGTTCGCGCGATTTCATCGTTTTGTGATTCTCTCATCAAGACCACTATCACGAGTCCTTTGCCAAACTTTCTGCATTTTGGTTGTGATACTTTTCCGACACGACTAATTGTGACTAACTATTACAACCGAAATGCAAGGTGACTGACGTGTAATGGACTCGTAACAGTTGTCTTGTCAGGAGAATCGGGAAGCGACGAACTCACGTGAACTGCCCGAGACCTTACAAAGCTGTAAGGCAATGTCTAGACAAGTTGGAAGCTTTTTAGATGTTGATGTTTTGAAAAATGCATGCTCCAAGTACACCGTTGCCCCAGTTTTACTCTACAGTATATGTCTTAAATCCTGAAAATGTGCTTCAAATTCCCACCACTGACGCTAACTCAAAAAGGTGGGCGGAATTGGTGGGGCTTCGATGCGTCCAGAAGTTAGCGCATGGATTGTACTTGCACTTTGTGGGTCTTTTACCTACTACAATAATATATGACATGGATCCATTTTGTCAAACCATTGTTTTGGGCTACTTCAACCAAAATGCTCCTCGGTTCCCGCCTAACTTTGCACACGGTGTTGACTATGCGAAATAGAAAAGTACTGTCGATTCGGCACAGCAGAGCCATCTACTGAGGTCAGGGCCCGGCACTGATGGTTTGGGGTCAAACTGGAC